GTTCGAGTTCTTTTTGGGGTGTTTAGGTGTGCTGGGAAGGGAGGAGCAGTGGCAATGGTATGACCAAGGGGTGCTCTGTGCTGGCTGCCGGCTTTGAGCTTCAAATTCGATGTTAAAAATGCACAGCTGATAAATAGAGCCTAGAAAAATGAGGTAAGGCTGGATGTGAATTRTCTGGAGGAGGCTGCCGACCTCCCCTGTGCCAGGGCTGCTTTGCTCAGGTCAGGAGCTGTTGCTGATGGCAGCTGGGGGCTGTGTTCCCTCCAGCACCCCGCTTTTCCTGGGCAGGCCTACCCAAGGGCACATCCAGGGAATCTGGTTGGGAGGGCTGATGCTGGCAGGAGTGCAGGGTCATGGACAGGGCTGGGGGAGTGCAGGGGCGACCTGTCCCCCTCGAGGTGCAGAATGGGTCCCTGCTGTCATGGGAGCTGTGCTGGGCTCCTCAGGAACGGGATGTGGCTGCTGCACGGGCTGTGCTGGCCTCCCCTCAACAGTGATCCAATTTTGAACTAATTTTCCCGAGCACAACAAAAAGCATAGAGACAACTGCTGCCCAGATTTTGTATCCTGCTGTCACGGAGCCAATTAAGGAAAGGGTTGCCATATTTTATTACTTTTTTCGTTAATGCACGGGTGGAGCAGCATAGCTCTTCTAAAGCCTCATTCTTGGAAGGGGCTAAGTAATCTCTGTTGGAGCTTTTTAGGGGGGAGGGGAAGGGAAAAAAAAGAGGGGGGAGGGGAAATAAATAAATAATTACACTTGGTGTGTAAAATACCAACCTGCAGAATTAACATTTGTTTGAACAGGTCTGGATATCCTGATGTGCAACTCTGAAGGCTGTCTAAGCTCTGCCCAGGGTTGGTGCTGAGGGAGGTCAGAGGGAATTTGTGTCGAATTGGAAAACATGGGTAAAAATGGGGGTTGGGTGCTGCTCAAGGGGAAGCGTGAATTTTGAGTTGGTTGCCTGGGCCCTGAGGTGATGTACACCAGGATATCCCCCCTCCCAGCTATGGGGTGATGTGGGCAGCCTCCTTCCTTCCATGTCTCTCCTTCCTTCTCCCCTTGGTGCCAAATCTCTGCATCGCTYCTGACAAACCTCTGAGCATGAGACAGTGTGTTTGGCTTTGATCTTGTGAAAATAATAATTTGGGAGAAGAGGTGGGGGAACCTTTGTATCCAAGAACCCTTGGTGTGGCTTKCGAAGAGTAACCTGTGCATCCCTTGGACTCACCGTGCTCCTGCTGCTCCAGGTTGGCACATGGGTTTTGGAGCCCACCTGGGCTGGAAGTAAAAGCAGCAGTCATTGTGTCCCAGGGGACCTGGCACTGGCTCCTCACTGGCCTTGCAGCACTCTCAGCTCTGCCCACTCCAGGGTTTGCTGCTTTTCYCTATCTCTTCTGTTTTGTTAGTCACTGATTTTTTTTTTCCCCTCTCTTTTCCTTGGGTTTTGGGCGAAGCTGAAATCAACACAAAAATGTTTGGTTTGATGCCATGTGTTGTTAAACTGCTGCTGCTGCACATCGTCATTGCAGGCCAGCATGGACAGGGTCGCTGACCCTTGGGCACAAGTGACACAGGGCTGTCTGTAAACTGTGTTAGATTTTATAACTTTTATATTTAGGGAGTTAAAGACTCTAAAGAAAGTAGATTTTAATCTAATCAGCTATTCCTTGTACTGTGTCAATCCTGGACATCAAAGAGAACATCAAAGTGAGAGGTACGAAAGGCTCTAATGGCGGCATGGCTGCTTTGCCAGGTRCAGACCTTGGAGCAGGGCTCTCCTGCCTCCTCCGAGGGTCCTCCTGCACCTCCTGTGCCTGCTGCTGTGCTGC